AAGAATGCGTCCCAGTGACCTTTAAAACTTCGGCGTGGGTTTATATACCATTACAGCACGCAGCGGGCAAGTAAAGAGCTCATTGTGATAACGAATGGCTCGGTCTCAGTGGGATGTGCTCGGATCCGCTCCACTTTGGGCTCCTCGCTTCTCAGGTCGCTGGAGCCAATTTCCTGCATGCTACGACTGCACTAATGAGGAAATTAATTAACTGTGTGTGCAAGCTGAGTCGATTGCGTAAATACGAATAGGTGGTTAAAAGTAGAAATCTAATAGTATGCATTATTTGGCTTCATCCTGTCCTTAGAACAGGATTCTCAGGATGTTGTCATGAAATATGATTTAAGGAAATGAATAGTAAGAGATGACAGGAGTGAGCAATGCACCCATCTAGTGGCAGACATAGGACATGATATGGCAAGGTCTATTTAATTCAAACTTTTAACATTTTGAGGCAATATTTTAGCTTTGAAATGGTGCATTCATTGTGTTGTGGCTTCCAGAGGCTCAGATAATAGACTGTGAAGCAGCTCTCTTTGTGTACAGGTCTTTCTCAAGGCCTCGCACCAAAATACATCTGTGACATGTTAGTGCCATCTGAACCAACTCAGACTCTGAGAAGCACAGGGACTGGACTCCTGCTGGTGCCCAGAGTCAGGATTAAACATGGGGAGTCAGCATTTCCATTATATGCAGCAAAATGTTGGAAGTCTTTCTGAAAATTGTAGACTGACTTTTAGGGTGTATTCAGGCCTGAAAAGTCCTTTGCTTGGCTTGCTTGATCCGAATCAAAAGCGGACCAAACTTTTTTTCTTTTGCTCCGGTTTGTATTCAGACTGTCCTTTTTGCAAGTGAACTTCTTTATATAAACATATTGACACGTGTGACGATCGGCGCTCCTATTGGAAAGAGAGAGCTCACGGAGGATAGACGCAGAACCGGCGGAAAACATTGAGGGCTCGTATGTGCAGCATGTCTGCTCTGCCTGTTTGCTCTTTTTAGAGCAAAACCACCTTCAACATCCACAGCAGATGCTCATATGACACAGGCGAAACACGTCGTTTGAAATATTGGAACAGCGTCGGAGAATGCGTGAGGAGAAAGCCGAAGGAGACTGTGCGCTCCGTGCCCTGTCCCACACATGGATCTATGATAATAACGGCCCTGTTCAGCATTGTGGATAAACCATGGATCTATAATAACCACGGGACAAACAGACGACGGAGGATCAGGTAGGAACCAAATAACACAATTCACTACATACGGGATATTTCTTTTTGAGACGTGAGTCAACACGTCAGGCTTTTATTAATGCAAATGATTTGAAGATGCTGACATTAACATCACTGTATACTGTGAACAGTTTTAACTCCATAAGCCTGTTGCACAGCGTCTCCTCACTTCTCCAGGTCTGCCCACGGCTCAGTGTTGTTGTGTAGCGTTAGCAGCATAGTTAGCAGCATAGTTAGCAGCATAGTTAGCAGCATAGTTAGCCGCTGCGTGGCTAATTCCTCACAGTTTCTGTCTGCAGTGGCTTGTTAAGCCCAAAAAATGCGCACGTATCTTGGAGTTGTGTCGGATCGACACCGGATGTATTCAGACCTGATTCGTGCATGAAATGTACAGGTCTGAATACACTCTTAGTCCACTTGTGTTCATACTCAAGTGGACTAAAAGTTCTTAACACTTGTGCTACCCTCAGGTCAAAATTACCCACCACAGATGATTAAAAGTAGAACATTTAGGGTCCAAATGACTCAGGGCTGGTCAAAGTTTGAAATATCATAGAAATTCAGCTCAAAAATGTTTTATTTAGGGTGTTTGAATCACTGTGGCTGGTAGGTTTCACCCGAGTACAGCACAAGGGACAAGATAGAAACAGTCATACAAGGTCTTGAAGACATAAATTACTATTACTACTACTACTAAATGATCACGGCACATTAAAAAAAGTGTAGATACAATCAGGCTCAGTTGTATTCACAGCTAAAGAGAGCTGAGAGTGGAAGCCTGTCTCATATTTTCAGAAAGACTGTTTTTAGGAACAATCTTCCTGAAGATGTGAGACAGGCCTCCTCTCTGACAATGTTTAAAACCAGGTTAAAAACAGTTCTGTGTATGTGCATACAACTGATGGATTTTATATTTTATATTTTTATCTTTCTTTTTAATGTACTGTGATTATTTATGATTTTAATGCTTTCTTATTTTGTTCAGCACTTTGAGTTGCCTTGTGTATGAATTGTGCTATACAAATAAACTTGCCTTGCCTTGCCTTAGCTGCATAAATCTTGTGTTTGACGTAGGGATGTAAATCGGCGACCGTTTAACCGGTGGTTGACCGTCACAGCGTTAACCGGTCAAAGCTGTCGGTTAAAAAAGAGAAAAATGGGAGAGGGGAGGTCTCTTAATAACGCTATTTTAAGTCCTATTTGCACGGTGTGACGAGCGGGTCTGTATCTAGCTGTGTGCGCGCATGTATTATAAACTCCGGGACGAC